TATATATATGAATGTGTCACATACCTGTCACCATCCACCGCCAATTTGTTATACAACTGAGGCCAATATACAAGGGACTGTACTACCGCCGCCTCGTCAGCCGTTTTTATTAATTCGCCCAAACTCTGTAGAGCCTTCACTTTAGTCACGGCATCTCTCTTTAACAAACTTTTAAACACTATTTTAAACTTTGAATCTGTGAGTAGATCCGAACCACTCCCATCAACGTGCCCTCCCTGGCCACCTGCTGCGAGAAACACAGGGTTGTTCTGCAGTGACTGAAAGCCTACAAAAGCATTAGGACTTTGTCGTGATACCAATTCAGCAGCAGCCTGTGAAGAAGAGGAAGTGGTTCCCTTCTTTTGTCTGTCATCGTTTTTACTTCTCCCCATTGCGCTTGTATATACGCCCACACGCGTTTACTAGCGCAGGATACATGTATGTATATGTCACAAGTTTAATTACGTAGATATCACGAGAACTACCCTGCTATAACAAGTAAGTGAGTATAGTAGTGAACGCTATCCTACTAACCAATATTAAAATGGAAGTATATAATAGTGAACGCGCTCCTACTCTCCACTAGAGGTGTATTTTTTTTATAATTTTATCCACAACTTACACACAGTCACACACACGTCACAGTCACACACTCACACGTATTTATTATACCAACGGGTATTTTTTTCTTTAAATTGTAAAACAAAAATACTGTATTTATAGTCGCTCTATGATCAGAGTCAACTGGTTGTTGATTGTTCCGAACTGTAAATTTCCATTTATTTTATTTATAGCTTTGCGTAGACAGAAATATTGATTGTTTTCTCGTTTTGTTTTTTTTGTTTTTCTTTGTTTGTAAAAAAAACAGTCTACAAACAAAACAAAACAAAACACAAGCAAAAAAAAGATCGGTCTTATATATATGTTTTAAAACTAACCAATTAAAAATAGGTACAATTATACATTAAAAATATTTATATAAAACAATTCATAGCCTTCGAACAATAAGACATATTTATTTTATTATTTAGCCTCACGAATTAAATACCTTTCCTTTTTTTTAATGGCGGGCAGCGTGTTTAAAATTATGGTGCCTTCATGAATGTTGGAAAATTGAACAATAGATGAGATTGTGGGTTTTTAACTAGCCTCTGGTTACTGGTATGATGCATACAGTAGCACATTTCGTTTATGTCGCGGAGTCGAGACCGTTGGAAACTAGTCGTGACGTGTCGGAAATTAGTCTGTAATGAAGACATTCCTTTACTCCTTGTCGTTTATTTACCATGCCAGTTTTTAAAAATAGAGATTTGAGTTTTTAGACTTAAGAAAACAAAAAGAACTGATCTGTCATTTAGACCTCACTTGCTTGTTGTTGTTTTTGTTTTTTTAAATGAAAAACAATAAATTTGGAACTGCGCGCGTCGAAGACTCGAAGTCACTTGGGGCTGGAGCCTGGAATCCCAAATCTGGATCCTTCGCCGTGAGGAATCATTACAAAATACTGTTGTCATTTTGGTGGGTTGCTATACTTTTTGGGTGTTGGCTATTAAATAGCCATGCATTCCTCAGTGATTGTACAGGCAGCTGAATGTGTTAAATTGTTTAAAATCGTGAAGTCGCAATCGCACGAGTTCATCTTGTAGCTAAATCTTGCAAGGTTTTATTTGCACGACAGTTTGGTATATGCTATTGACCCTTTCTGTAACATATTACATTTGCATGACACTTTGGTATATACTATTGTTAGAAAAAATTTAACTTGATTGCATCCCACAGCTAAAATTTTAGTTGTACTTGCGGTCATGCGACTATCCTGAACGCGTACACTCGCGTATGAATCATCCTGACTACTCTGTATATAGTCGGTCAATACGCATGCTTACTGCGCATGTAGGGCCACGAATACGTGGCTACTTTTGCTTGTGTAAATATATAGATACTTATATGTCACAAACTCTACTTATCCGAAAATATCGTGTTTTGTTTGTGATCTTGCTTCTTTTTCCTACTATATCCTCATAGTATAAATTGTACTTCTATTTCAAACCTGTTTTGATAATACCTAGGTATACTATCGATATTGTAGTCGATTGTGTGTTCGTATACACCTTTTTCCTATACAATAAAACAAAATATACAGTACATCATTGTAGTCGATTGTATGTCTGGATGCACTTACCCATCAAAACACATAGTATGACAATATGTTTTGTATTATTGTGTAATAGTACGCCTTAAGCCAATATTGATTGTACTGAGTGAACGCATTTACAACTATAGACGATTTATATAATGATGCGCAATTATGTTAGTTCAAAATTTATTTTTCTCATTTTGGGGTAATTTGATAGCCGTTTACACAAGGGTTTTAGGATTTAGAAGTATTTTTGTGCCCCTCAAGCATGTAACTTGAGGATAGCGGAAGTGGCGAATGATGTGTCATGAATACATTCGATTCAGTCCAGCTATTGTTAAAAATCACCCGGGGCTGCATATAGTGATATTGGTGAACACAAATTGCCAACACTATAGTATTTACAATTATGAATCACACTGTTCTGCAGAATAGACCGTGGTCAGTCAGTTTTCGATATAATACTGATTACACGTCGCGATACATTTGAAAGCGCTAAGTTCTAAACAAAAGCCAAATTATTGTGCACTGATCGCCAAATGAGTAAAGCTAATACTGTGAAAGAGTTTCTGGTAAATTTAATTTTCAGAAAAAGAGCTTTGACCACACTACTACTAAACTGATATTCTATGTATACTTCGTGCTAGGTGCTAGGTCCGGCCCAAAATGAAAATGGCAAATGTATGTATTCCGTGCCCGATAGCGATAGTCCGTGCGTCCGCAGGCCCTGAAATACATATATACCAACCAATTACATCGCCGTACTTTTCGTACTCCATACACCAGGACACGAGAACAAAAAGACCACAATACGCTTAGCTCAGAACGATACAGTATGAGTGAAATCTATGGATGCACACAGAGGGGTGCCCTTGTTAGTACGTGAAAAAGTTGCATCATATTTGAAGACAACGATATCAGAGCAATATCAAGTTATACAGCTTAATGTTGAAACTGTACGCATTGATGAGATTTATCATTAAAATACTTGCAGTTGTTGAAGAATGACTCTTGCCACTTGCATATGTAAGTATCGCATCTAGTCGTTTATCCAAATTAAAACTTTAATGCAGGCTCATGTATAAAAGACAAGCTACTCTAGTACTCAGTGATTGCATCTCCAGGATTCTTCGTATACTATTATATATATATAGTGATCATATTATTTCTATGTCAGGTCGTAGTAGACCTTTAGAGTGGTCAGCTGTGAGTATCATCAACATGACTCTTCCAACATTTCAACTTCAGCACCCATTCAACGTTTTGTCATATATTTTTAGAAACTAGTGGGTCACGATTGTTTGGTAATTTTTAACGTCAAAGAAATATTAAATTTATTGAGTAGAATAATTGTTTCAAGGTTTTTTATTAGCGAGTAGAATATTGACATACGAAATAACTGAGTATGTAGCTGTACAAGGCGTTAGCAATATACTGATTTCAATACAAGAAGACAAGAAATAAATCAGCTGGATGCATTTTAGTATCTATTTCAGGAAAGTACATAAAATGTTTCGATAATTACTCAGAGCTATCGAGAAATCTATTATTTACCAAGAGCGCAATTTGCTGTATTTGCTATTCACTTCATAATAATATGTGCTGTGCATGGGGCAGAAATACTAAAAAAATACCGCTCATAGCCTTCTAAAAAGGACATGATAGGAGGCTATGTAGTGTGTAGTTCGTGTATATATTATGTACCGCTATCGAAATTTTTCAACCACTTGCTAAACATTTCCATTTGGGCTCTGGCTAACTTGAGACCAATATAAAGTCAAGTACTCATACGCAGATATGCAATATGACATATTTTCAACCATTCGCCTTTGAACCTTTGAAGGTTAAAGTTTGAAGGCTATGGCAGGATGCGGATCCTATGGCGTATGCCCTATGTTTGTTTCATATCCACTTATTTGCATAAATAAATAGTGTGTATCTTTTTCTACATAGATACTCACATACACAGTATTTGCTATTTATATTATAAATAGCGAATATTGTGTATGTGAGGTAAATACATATTTGATATTTACACTTTTAAAGTCATATGTACACAGGTCAGACTTCCATAGCAACGGGGGTATTTTCTTTATAAAAAAAACAAATATGGTGGCAAAAAAAACTACAGTAAATATGTATATAAATATCTTTTTTTTGAATATATATATGACATCCTCCGGGAGTCCCGAGTCTCAGTCCTGGGACTCTGGGAGCTGATCAACTCGCAGCTGAGGTCGGGGGGGGTCATTCTTTTTTCGGACACTTCTATAAAAGTATTCACAGGCTTATTTGTAGAAGCAGAAAGAAATATGGCAATCAGACAGATATCGAAATCCAATCGATGTCATCTGATATGTCGCCATCCGCACAATATTAACAAATGCGACATATAGTGATACAACGATCTTATTTATGCGCGAGATATTGTTAATGCGTAGTGACAGAGCTGCCCAACAAAGCCCATACACACCCCAGTGAGACCTGACGAAAGAACGGTGCTGATATCCCAAACTGTCTAGTACAAATGCATAAGGAAGGGTTGTAGGGCAGCAAGAAGCGCGTTCCACCTAACAAGTGACACCCACATCGCAACTCACTATGTGTGCGAATAAACTAGTCGTCGTTGGGCTTGGTATCCTTGCGACGGGAATATATAGAGGTGTTACGGCAGGTAAACGATCTGGCGTGTATCTCTTGTTTGCTCTTATCTTTGATTGCTTTGTTTGATGTGTTTGATGGGAGTCGTATCGAAATAATTCTCAGGATGCATTAATGGAAACGTATTGCAGACAAGTGTGGCCGTACAATTCGCTTATACTCTGACATTCTTTTGTATGCTGATAAAGAACATAATTAGTTGATTTACTGCACCTGCAGTGATCTGATCTACATAATAACTTCTAAAGCCAAAGTTAAATGGCCTATTCATCCAGGACAGCGCTTTTCTTCCTTTCCAAAATAATGACTGTATGATTGTTTGCAAACACATTGCTCGAGGAAGGCCGTAGTATAGATGATAGCAAATTAGAGGTATATTCCAATATCTTCTATTCATCCGACTATATATATATATGTGTGTATACGCACATACACGTGTACACACACACACACACATATATATATATATATACATGAATATATATATATATATATACATATATATATATATATATGTATATATATATACATGTTATATATATATATATATATATATATATATATATATTTAACCTATATNTATAATATATATANATATATATATATA